AAAGAAACATACTGTACTTCCAGTAAAAAGAAATTTCCCCCTATAAAATGCCCTTTTTGATACAGCAAGTTGGAACACTTCCAGCTAAACAGATTTGGTTTGCAAAATATTTTGGGAAAACATCACAATTTCAATAAACTTCCTGCAACCTCCTGGTGGCTGTGGCACTCAAGCTCTGGGTCCATGCCACTGGGATGGCTTCACGTCCTTCCTTTTTCCCCACGCAGGAGCTATGTGGTGGCTACTGGCCTTGAAAGGAGGAGAAAGGAGAAAGAGCATCTCTCCCCCTCAGCTGGAGTGGGCTCCCAGCGCGCATTCGGCACGTTGGCCACCCACCCCAGGAGACGGGCAATAGAAGGGAGCTCCGTCAAAGGGGATCTCCCCTGGCTGCTAGCAAAACATTAGCGACCTGGCTTGCAGTGGAGAAACTGTACTCCAGGGCTGGGGAGGAGGGCTCCCACACATCCAGAAGAAGCGCTGGGGCCGGGGAGCTTGGCAGCCCCAGCTGCACTGATTGGAAATGATGCACCCGCTGCCAGCTCCTGTGCTGCCCACGCTGCCTGCGCTGCCCACGCTGCCCGTGCTGCCTGCTGTCGGGCTGGCGCGACTCACCCCCCACTACTCTGGCGGCTGGGGGGAGACAGGAGTGACGCCGATAGGATGGGTGCCAAGTGCAGGCAGCACTTGCTCAACATGCCGGGGAGTGTATTTTGGGATGGAGAGGTCAGGTGGTTAATCAAGTGGAAACGGGATGATACGCCATTAAAGCATTATGTACTCGCTCTACAAGCGCGCCGGGTTAAGGAAAGACAGGGAGACGCAGATGTGTCCAAAAAGAACGTAAAAATATCGGCATTTAGAGTATTGCACAACGGAAGGAGTTGGCGAGTCCTGAATCTTGAGAGTCTGTTTATATGTTTTGGCAGGGAATTACGAGCACATCAATCTGGATTCTCAGAAGCGCCTAAAAACTGCCTTTTGCAGCTGCAAAAAGCGGAGGCAGAATGACAGCCCCACCACAGCCCACTCTGCAACGCTGCCCTGTGAACATTTCTAAGTCTATTAACCTACAGCCTATCAAGCAGATTTAAAAGTGGAAATATTAAAAATCAGGGCAGTATACAGCCATAGTAGGAACAAAGCCATTTTAATTCCCCGGGCTTAAACGCTGCCCTTGACTCCACTCCTGTGTTTCACTGGTTCATGGGAACCCTGATAAACTTGGGCTGTTTTTGGTGGAATGAGATTACGATAGCAGGGACCTTGAAATGTCTCTTAAACAAAGCGTATTGCACCTGGAGGAAGACAAAAGGCAGGCTTGTAACAAAATAATCTCTCAGTCATTATGTTTCTTGCTGATTCAAAGAGCTGATCTTTTAAATAATCTCTCTTGCATTGCTATCGGTGCTAACTCTGCTGCTTCACTTAAAGATCTGTCAGCAATTTTATTACAGCCTCTTGTTTCCAGGGATGTTAGTCTTGGTCTTAAAAATGTGGTCCCAGCTGAAACTTAACATATAATCTTACAAAATTTAAAAAAAACAATGCAAAAAAAAAGGGAGCAAGCAAACTCAGGTATTTTTAAGGCTATAAAACCATAAAAAGAACCAGAAGCATGTAGCTTTAAGTGATTACAGTGATTATTTGTTTTCCCTAGACAGGAGAAATAGCTTTATTTTATTTATTTTTTTAACCTATGGGCAATTAATAAATCACCGGTTGGAAACACTGTTTGGGCTAATTTAACAAAAAAATGAAGTTACTTTATTGCATGTGTTTTTGGATGATATTCTTAAACTCGCTAGTTAGAAATTTATTTATGCAATTTATTAACTCAACATTAATGTCTCCAAAAGAATACCTTCTTGGTCATATGATTTACACACTTAAAATATTTCTATTTGCCCTGAAAAAAATGATACTGTAAAGGAACCATGTAAATCTGCATTTATGTAAAACTCTTGAACTACAGATCTACCTACTCTGGCTAACATTAACCACTGTAAAATCAGTAACTACCTATTTACTATCTGGTTCAGGTGGGTGTTAGAAGAAACTCAACCACAACATATAGATAGATAGAGTTATAATACATAAAGACTTAAATGTTCATCAATAATCTCACCTAAACTTTCCTTAACAATACCCCAGCACAGCTCACATTTTTGTTTCCCCTCCGAAGGAAGGGGTGAGTTAAGGTTGAAGCACTGGCCAGGTTTGGAGATTTAACTGGATTTCATTACTCTGAGCGTGTAGGTCAAACCCTTTGACATTATATACTTGGTACTGGCACAAAGTAATCTTTCAAGTTAAACCATGTGTGATGTGGTGGAAGCTTTTTCTCCCCTTCTGTTCCCCTTTGGTCTGTGAATTGGCTATGGTTAGATCTTTTAAATGAACAGGTGTACTTTCTCCCTCCTGTGATATGAAAGAAGCATAAAACTCGATTATAGCAATTTATGGTCTCTTAACTTGCTTGGACTTGTATCCATGACACAGGTAGCTTTATGCTCAAATTCAAGACTTGGTAAAATAGGAAGTTAAAATTAACCTCAATCCTTTTATAGATTAAAACCTCAACAAATAAACAGTGGTTTAGTGGCATGGCAACCTGCCCCTTTAAATCTAAGAACTAGTCTGAGATGTCTATTTTGAGTTAGTTTTGTTTTTTAAAAAAAGATAATTGGACTTGGATGAATAGAGGAGTAGCCTGTGATTCACACTGGTGTGAGCTAAAGCAAAGTTTATGGTACTACTTGGAAGTTAGCAATGTATGGGATATTATGCCTTATTTTACACCTGCATAAAAAGCACTCTGTTCTCAGTAAGAGAGCTTCAACAGAAGTGTTTCAGGATGCAAAGATGTACACATAGGCATAGTAATGCTATGGAGATGGTCAGAAGTGTTTTGTTTTGGGGGGCCTACATTCTGAAATGCAGCGCTTTTGATTAAAAAATATAAAAATGAAAACATTTTTTTGGACATCAGCCCGAAAAAAATCATCCTTTGAACAGTGAGGAAAAAATGATGATGCTGAAGCTTGTTTCCACCCTAGCCCTATTCCCCTGCTGTGACAGCGTGACCCTGAAAAGACAAGCCCTAGAAATTAAAAGGTATCTGCAGCAGACACAGTCCCAAATGAGGGAGGCTTCGGTTTGGGGCTTATTTCACTGGTAGCGACTGCAAGCCTCAACAAGTTGCTCAATGGATAACACACACATTTTGGAGGCAGAGGGAACGGGGAACCAGGAGAAAGCAGCCCGATAGTTGAAGAGGAGGGTATCAATGAGGTGTAATTAGCAGTTCACTTGCTACCATTTTCTGAGCTACATCCACAGGTGAAACACATTAAAATCTTGTTTGCAAAGAGCAATGCAGGGCAAGGTACTAAAACTATTTCTGGAGAGAGCAGCTGAATCCCTGTCTGAGTGTGAAAAGCCTATGGCTCTAAAGTCGTATAAGTGAGAGACTTTCACAGGGAACAAGGGAAGAGGGATACTCAACGTTAAACCCGATACTCTGCTAAGCATATAGTGTTCCCAAGAAGCTGAAGAATGCAAGCCTGCAACTGATACCGCCACTCCTGTAGCCGCTGCCTGCTGAGTAGCCATAATAATATGTGTGTTTTCTTTTATAGGAACGGAGCTGTGCACAGGAGAAACGCACATGGTTTTGCTCTGAGAATCAGAAAACTAAGTGAGGGGACTGCCAGGGGTTGGGAGAGGTGCAGGATTGGATCCTTTGCCTGAGCTGACCTGGCACGTCTCCAGGGATGGAAGGAGCTGGGTGGTCCTTCCAACTGTCTTTTTGCCCGCCTCTTTCTACAGTACGGCACATAACAATGTGTTGATTTATTTCCCATGCTTCTCAAAAATGCCTGCTCCTGCTCACAGCGTAGTCAACGGCAGATTTGCAGTAGATTTCACTAAGCCAAAGGCCTTCCTAGCCCAGGGAATAAAAGGATGTAACAAGCATTTGGAATAACCCCTTCTATGTGCAACAAAGAGCAGGTTTTAAAAACAAATGCCAAAGAAACCCTTATTCTGATTCGTGGTAACTATTTCTCCCCAAGCCCCCAGCAGAGCGCCTTGACTAAAGCCATTTCATTCTGTCTGGAAGAAGAGGGGAAAACTCCATGAGGAACAGAGCTTGCTAAAACTAATACTGTCCCTTACTCTCCTCTTCAGTGCATCTCACTATGAACCTGTGTTTTGACACACATTTTGCAAAACCACGTATGAGCTGATGGTGTACTAGCCTGAATCACCGTGCACCCAGTTCCAGCTGATCCCAAGGATGGAGTTGGTTTTAGCAGGGACAGACTCAACTCTTGTGGTAGCAGATAAGATGTCAGGCTAGATGACTTGGTTTCATTGGCATCATCTGAGCCTGAGCCTCAGAGAAAGTCAGACTCCTGAGTCATCATTTTGAAAGTTTTTCTTTGAACAAAACCCACTGGATAACCACCAGCCACAGAAATACACTCAAACCAGCCTGCCCATATTAATGTTGTCTTCAGGGGACAAATCGCTTGAAGAAGCTTTCTTTGCTGCCACCTTCCTGGGAAACATCAAAGCGAGGCATTGACGGTATTTCTGTCTAATTCAAGCACACAATGTAACTGATAAATATCCCTCGGGAAATACACCTACACATAGAAAAAAGCCTTGCATAATGTATCTTTGCAAGAAAACAACGGCTTTCAAGATGTTACAGCTCCAGCATAGGTGAGGTTGACAAACTCTGACACCAGGTTGACTGTACTGACACCAGGAAGACAAGACAGTATGGACCCCTTAAAATCTGTCAAGTCTTTAGAAATACAGACATGTTAGGAAGCACCTCCTTTCACTCATTAAAGGCTCTCACTCATTAAAGGCGGCCAAGTAGATTCCAGAAGAGAGGGAGGGATGAGGGGGCAGCGCCCACAAACCCCTGTGCTCTGCAGGCTGGTGGGGTGGAGGTGGGCGAGCGGGGGGGGAGGATTTCAGGTACTTACCCTGAATCTGACTCTGAGGCTGAGGGTTAAAAGCAGTGGTGTGGTTCAAGGAGGCTCGTGGGTTGGGTGTGGGGGCTGGGTGGTGTGGGCTGACCCTCATGGCTGTACGACGCAACTGCTCCAGTTCACTCAGGCGCTCTGAAAAGGACAAGCTCCCAGGCTTTGTCTGCTCATCTATTTTCTGACGATGTCCTATTGTGGAAGGGGGGGGGAAAAAGATCAGAAAATCTCACTGATACATGAAGTCTGTTGACTTTTTTTCTTTTTAAAAAAATTTTTCTTTTTTTTTTTTTTTAAACCCCTCATCCACTGGCAAAGGACCTAACCAGCTAGTGGCCATCTGAAATTAAAGTGAAACAACCTCTCTGCAAGCACAGGAGACACAAACCAGTCATGCATCGTAACCATACTGTGGGGCAGCCTGAGACATGACCTATTCTGAAGAACCATATCCATTGAAAATTGCAGTGCCTTCTTACACCTCTCACTGAGAAAGGATGCATTTTTAAAGGAACGATGGTCTACTGGGATGAATTACGGGAGGAAACTTCTAATGGCCCCAGTGCTAAACCTGCACTGGAGTAGCTCATCAAAAATTCAGTCCCAGATTGTCATAGGGTACCATAATTAGACAAGGACTATGGGGCTATAAAATAGCAAACCCAAACAAATCTCATTTTTGGATCCTTTAGGAATGGATTTACAGACAGAAACAGGATAGAAACAAACACCAGAAGCTGGCAGAATTGAAACTGCAGGGTAATGAAGTCTGTCTTAGTGGCATCGGGAGCTTCCAAAACGTGAGGTCCCACCACACATCTGGGTATAAGAGAGTGGATGCTGACATTACAGCACGGGCCAGTGCACACTGGACTTGGCCACGGCCACATGGGATTTAGGGGGTCCATCCAGCACTCCCCAGGGCAGCCCCTGGAGCATAGTCCCCACACGGCTCTGGTGCTGCGGCCCCACGGGGCTGGGATGGAGCATGGAAGACACCGGAAAGGCCCAGCTCCAGCACAGCGTAGGAGCACACCCAGATTCAGGTGGAAGGGCAGAGACATATCTCATCACAGGCAGGACTGGTTTCAAGATAAGCCTTAGCTCACTGCAGCAAGCAGTATGCAAGGACTAAGGACTAATGCATTTCTAACTGTTGCCTGTGGATACTCTCTGCTCTGAGGTCCTTTGTGTGTCAACCTGTAACCACCAAGACTGCACACAGAGCATACAAGAGGGACATCTTGTCTGCTGGAGCACTTGCTCTCCAGGAGGCATGATGAAAGCACAAATATTAAATCCTCCTTCCACCCTCTTAAGAGTTAACCCATTGCCATGACTTTGCAAACCACTTTTGTGTCCATTGGTTTCCAGCCCTATGAGATATCCTTCAAAAGTGAGGTATCTTATCCTGGAAGGCTGCAGGTCACTACACTTTGGGGCTGAAATGTAAACCTCCCTAGCAGATTTGTGTTTGGTGAAATGTCTGAAATGGGATGATTCAGCCCTGTTCCTAACCAGGTGGAGTCAAAACTTTCCCTTGTAATTTCCCCCCCCCATCCCCAAAAGGACTTTTTCTTCTTAAAGATGACAGAAAACAGCCCTTCAGCAGAAAGCCCAAAAGCAGACTGTCTCTGGCACATAAGTTGTCCTTTCAAAGATGCTGTCTCCAAATGGAGGGCAAGATACTGACTGCAATGGGACTGTGAGACCAGTGACTGTGACCCCACCTGTATTTAGTCAATGGAGTAGGATCTCCAGCTCCAAAAACGTAATTTTTGTACCTTCTCCTTGGGGACCTTCTTGTGGAGCTGTGGATGTCATTGTCCCTCCTTTTCCCACAAACCCAATCCCATTTCTGCACTTTGTATTTGTCTCAGGAAATCATAGAATCATAGAATCACAGAATGGTTTGGGTTGGAAGGCACCTAAGAGATCATCAAGTTCCAACCCCCCTGCCATGGGCAGGGACACCTCCCACTAGCCCAGGTTGCTCAAAGCCTCATCCAGCCTGGCCTTGAACACCTCCAGGGACGGGGCATCCACAGCTTCTCTGGGCAACCTGTGCCAGTGCCTCACCACCCTCACAGTAAAGGATTTCTTCCTAATATCTAGTCTAAATCTACCCTCTTTCAGCTTAAAACTGTTACCCCTCATCCTCACGAATCTTTGTGGCTTATCCTTTCCCCTTCTTCCCATAGGACCCTGTTACCCCAATGGTAATGCATGTCAAATATCTAGACCAGAGGCCAAACATGTTTTTGCTACCCATTCCCTTGAAGAAGGTGGCATTATCCTTGGTTTCTGCTGAACACCACAGTTTGCTGTCTATCTGCTCACAAGAGTTGCCTTCTGCAGCTTTCTTTACATCTCCATCCTCCCGCAAGGAGGTGGCCAGTGCTGTTCCTATGGTGAGTCCTCTCAACTCACGGCTGCAGCAGTGAAGTAGACTGGCACAAAGCTCCTGAAAATAACCCACCGTGCCCTATTCCACACAACCCTGTAGGATTTAATACATAAACATTCATAAACATACAGCTTCTAATTTTGAATATCTGTGAATAAGCAGCAAAAGATCTCTGAAGAGCTCTGTCCATCCCTCACTCTACAGAGTGCTCTTTCAAGCCACTCTAACAGCTCAATCAAGACACAGGATCATTTCATGCACTGAAAGGAAAACGTGCATTTAAAAGCAGTTCCCAGTAGCTGCATTTCTGAAATTAAATTTTATAGCTTGTATTATGGTTCCAAATCTCAGTGGCTTGGCATTTCTTCCTGTTGCCAGGCCCTTTGGCACAGCTTGAACTGTCTCAGATTCCACACTGTGCTGTAAATTATCCCAAGGGAGGGGGGGGAAGGAATTAAAATGTAAAAATACATATTATATAGTAGTGGTTTCATCATTAAAGAGACCCATTAGGACTTCCAAAAAAAAAAAAAAAAAAAAGGACAAACAAAGAAAGATGAAAAAGACTTTTATCTGACATTCTCACTGGTGAAGAGCAAATGCTTCATTTGTCAGCAGTGCAAGCTGGATGCTGCCTCAAGCCTTGAGCTCCTGACCCTGGGCTTGAATGCAAACATGCGGAGTCATACAAGATGTGTAAAATACCTCATACATTTGGATTATTTTAAGCTTCAGCAGGCTGAACCCAGGGCTTGCAGAGCCAAGAGCCAGGTCCTTCCAAATCCATCCCCCTTGATGTAATTTATTCCTAATTTCAAATTCCGCTGAGACATCTTCTGCTTTTAAGTGAGCACACCAACGCCAAGTCTGAGCCCCTGCTACCCTACCTTCTCCTCCCTCCCTGGTGCTGCCCTCCCGGCATCTGAAGTTTTGCCTGCCTGGCACGAAACCAAGCGTCCCAGCAGCGCAAGCCCGTGTGCCAGCAGCCTCGGACGGAGGTGAGCGGTTCCTCTGAAGCCAACAGGACAAGGGCTGCATTAAGGCTGTGGAGGCAGGAATTAACTTTCCTGCTTTGAATCTAGCTCAGGCACTAAATTTGTGTCGAGCTAGCACATGACGCTGGGCAGAGCAGACAAACCTGAGCTCTCTCTGAACAAACCAGTGAGCAGGCGGCGAGCAGGTCAGATTAACCCAGGCACAGCATCCTCCTGGGGTCACCCTGGGGCACCCTGTTCCCATACCAGCTCCCTCCATGCTGATGGGAGTATCAATGCTCGTCTTTGCACTGCGCATCTACTGAGTGAAACTCCTGGACCCCTCCACCCAGCCCTGCTCTGCCCCAGATCAACCTGCTGAATTCTGGGCGTTGAAGGGGGGTGTCTCAGCTGGCAGCTTCCTGCATGGGGCCTCCTCTGTAGCCTGGGGGTACTAGCAGGGCATCAGCACATCCGAGATCTGCTTCATTCCTCCGGCTTGTGGAAATCCCACTTGTGTCAATGCATTTGGGTATGAAAGACCAGCTCCAGCAATCTCCTTCTGAAGGGAACTCTGCTGTTGTTTTCACCCATATACTGTAATTTTTGGTAGGACCTACCGAAAATCAGTGCCAGGCAAGTGTCACCTCAAGATGTAGCTCCAAACATGGCTCTTTATTTTTTTCCCCTAAATCAGAAGAGCTATTTAACCTTTTCTCCCTTGCTGACTGCTGCAGTTAGCAGCACAAAACCTGTTTTGCATGAAGGTCTGCAGCAGGAAAGTAAAGAACTGTGTCAGAAAAATGTAACAAATATAAATGGTTTTCCCAAGCCACTATAAATGTACAGGCAGAGCTTTGCTAGGGTGACTTGTATTTTTGTGTTTATTACCTTTACTTTGAAGTTACCCTCTAAACACCTTGCTTAAAGAGCTGGCAAGTTATCCTCAGTTCACCCCTGTAAAGCCCAGGACTATTATTATCCCCCTTTTATAGCTGGAAAACCAAATGACAGAGAAACAAGGTGACTTGCCCATAGTCGGGCAGTGACCCTGTGGCAGACGCTCGCCTCCCAGCTCAGCATAGTGACCACAAGCCCAGGCTTCCCCTTCGCAGGAGAGCAGCGTGATACCGCATGAAAAAGAGCAGCAGGAAGGCACTTGGAAACTGGTGTGGCTCTGCTGAGCCAGCAGTTTGGCCACGAGGATCTGCCACTTTTGCAAATCGGAGAGGACTTTATGGCAGTCAGTCAAACATCCACCTGTTGAATGAAGAAGACCTTGGCCCAAAGCTTGCAGAGCCACATGAGAGAGCTTGTCACAAGACGGCACTGCTGTCCTCT